GTGTGGACACCAAGGGGTCATCTCCAGTGTAGACTGTGGAGACAGCGGTCTGGAGCTTGGCAGAGAGATGCAGCTTGGGAATCCTCATGCATTCCAAAAGCACCTACTGAGCGTCTCCTATGGGCCAGGCACCGTGATAAGAAATGAGTGGAGAGTGGCCGGTGGAATAGACCAGAACCTGTGCTCAGGACCTTACGTTTAATGTGGGGAAGACAGACCCTGGAGCTGTGTCCTGGGGTAAGTGCTGCGAAGGAATAACATCAGGTGTGGTGACCAAGCATAACCAGGGAGAAAGAAGGCTTTAGAGAAGGCCTGGGAAGAAATGGAGGAAACCATCCCCGGGGAGCCTACGTCAAATGCAAATGCCCTGACCTCACAGGAAAGGGGGAGGCCTGATTATGGGTGAGGGGGTGACAAGAGGCAGGCAAGGACCAGAGCGTGCGGGGTCTTGGGAGCGAACGTAAGGAGCAGTGGACACTGAAGCATCTGGACATCAGACGGGACGCAGAGGTGACAGGAGGAAAGTCCAATGCTCACATCTAAGGTCAAGGAGAGGAAGAGGAGCCCAGGAAGGCAGAGGGGCAGAGCCTGGTGTGGAAACCAAGGGACAAATGTCAAGGACAGGGAAGTGGTTAACGGGGTCAACTACTACAAGGAGAGCAAGGAAGATCAGGATGAGAGAATATCCACAGGACTTATCGACGAAGAATTACACGTGACCTTGGAAGGAACAGTTTCCAGGGAGACAAACCTGGAGGTGGGACTAGAGCCTGGAAGGGGGATCTGCAGCTGCAGCCTTGGGTGTAAAGGGAGGGACGCTGCTGGTGGGGGGCGGGGGGACGCGCGACCAGGTCTCTCTCAGCCAGATCCACAGTCAGAGCAACGCCTTCTGCTGACCTCAACTGTCTCTGCCAATCGGGTGCCAGGGGTCATTCTCACTGCGAGGGGCTGGGGCGGGGGGCACAGGGGAAGGGCCTGAGGGACGTCACGGAGATTTACAACAGCTGCCCTGAGAAGGCACCAGAACTGGCGGGGGCCCAGCCTGGGCTCCTTGGAGGCTGGCAGTGAGGAGCTTGTTTGGGATTCTCTCTCTCTCTGTCTGCCCCTCCCCAACCTCTCACACTCTCTCGATCAAAATAAAGAAAAACTTAAGAACAATTTTTTTAATTAAAAAAAATGGAGTGGCTTCAAAACAAAACGTTCAGATTAGCTAATATTGTAATTGTTATTTTTAAATGACTATAAAATGTAACATGTCAACTACTCAACTGCAATTTTTTTAATGCTTATTTAAAAAAAATTTTAATGTTCATTCTTATTTTTGAGAGAGAGAGACAGAAAGAGAGACAGAGCGTGAGTGGGGCAGGAGCAGAGAGAGAGGGAGACACAGAATCCCAAGCAGGCTCCAGGCTCCGAGCTGTCAGCCCAGAGGCCCCCTGGTTGCTTCACCTCCTGAACCGCCAGATCATGACCTGAGCCAAAGTTGGCCTCTTAACCAACTCAACCACCCAGGTGCCCCTAAATGTTTATTTATTTATTTTGAGAGAGAGTGGGGAAGGGGGAGAGAGAGAGGAGAGAGAATCCCAAGCAGGCTCCACACTGTCAGTGCAGAGCCTGATGCGGGGCTTGCTCCCAAAAACCAGGAGATCATGACCTGAGCTGAGATCAAGAGTTGAACACTCAACCGACTGAGCCACCCAGGTGCCCCTATTTATTTGTTTTAAGATCTTATTCTTTTAAGCAAGTTCTAAACCTAACATTGGGCTTGAACCTACAACCCCGAGACCAAGAGTCACACACTACTGACTGAGCCAGCCAGGCGCCTCTAGTCAACTGCAATTTTAATACAATTAGATAAAAAGTATATTCGATGTGGGATATGGATGCTTCCTCCCATAACCTGATATTATTTATATATTTATTTAAAAATTTTTTTTTAATGTTTATTTTTATTTTTGGGACAGAGAGAGACAGAGCATGAACGGGGGAGGGTCAGAGAGAGGGAGACACAGAATCTGAAACAGGCTCCAGGCTCTGAGCTGTCAGCCCAGAGCCTGACGCGGGGCTTGAACTCACAGACCGCGAGATCATGACCTGAGCCGAAGTCAGACGCTCAACCCACTGAGCCACCCAGGCACCCCCCATAACCTGATTTTAAAATTTACCATTATAATGTGATAATTTTCCCATGATTCAGTATTATTCAAAATGGAATTTTAAAGCAGCAGAGTACTTTATTAGTTATTACACTTGAGCGACCACCATTCTTCAAATGTTGGATGTTTTAGGTGGTTTTCAATTATTTTCCACTGAACCCTGTCCTATCCTTTGCAGATAAGCTTTTTTTGAACTCATTATTTTGAAATAGTTAGAGATTTGTAAGAAGTTGCAAAGAAATGGACCTTCCACGATGTGACATCTTGCACAACTATAGCACAATATCAAACCACAACCCCACACTGGCTCATTCAGACCTCAACAGTTAGGGTACCTTTGTTTGTGTGGACATCTTTGTAACTTTATCACACGTGTAACCGTGTAGACCTACTTACTACCTCAGTCAAGATACCGGACGCTTCTTAAAGACTTGACATGAGTTGGAGTCAAAAAAATCACCCTCGAGGGGCGCCTGGGTGTCACTTAAGCGTCCGGCTCTTGATTCTGGCTCGGGTCGGGATCTCATGGTTTGTGAGTTCGAGCCCCGCGTCAGGCTCTGCCGGTGTGTGGAGCCTGCTTGAGATTCTCTGTCCCTCTCTCTCTCCGCCCTTCCCGTGACCGCTCTCTCAAAATAAATTAACTTAAAAAAAGTAAACAAATGCATAAATAAGGAAAACGAGTCTGAGAAAAAAAAAAAAAAGCTGGAGGAAGTGAGCAGGCTGTTCACAAGAGAAGCCAAGGGCCTCACGAGGGTACGAGGAGACGTCCGCAGCTGTGAGGGAGCAGGGGTGTGCAAACCACGACAGCGAGATGCCCCTTTGACGCCTTCAGAATGGCGGACGCTCGGTGCCGGTGAGGACACAGGCAACGCGACAGCTTTTCTGGAAGGCAGCCTGACCGAACACGGGCAGGTGTGAACCTCGGAATCCAGGGACCCCTCTCCGTTACCTGCCCGCCAGAGCTGCTAGCTAGCGCCAGCACAAGGGCATTGGCCGTGGCATGACCCGTGGGGGAGGGACCTGGAGGCAAGCGGGTGTCTGCGACGGGCCTGGGTAAGTGCGTGATGCACATCGCGGAACGAAAGGCGGCAAGAGAAGCCCCGAACCATGCGCCCTCCCAGAACAGGGCTAGGTGGGAAGGGAAAGGGAAAGGGAAAGGGAAAGGGAGAAAGGGGAGGAGAGGGGAGGGGAGGGAAGGGAAGGGAAGGGAGGAAGAAAGAAAGAGGAAGGAAGGAAGGAAGGAAGAGAAAGAAAAGAAAGAAAGAAAGAAAGAAAGAAAGAAAGAAAGAAAGAAAGAAAGAAGAAAGAAAGAAAGATAGATGTTGGGTGAAAAAAGACAGATGTAGCTCAACACCACGCACGGGAACTTCGAACGCGCACGGACAAAACAACGTACTTTACAAGGATACAAACAGACTCAAAAGTCGCTTCCGTGCACTCACGCGAACCCAGGCCCCCCACCCCCATCCCACTGCTCTCTTCCTTTAGCCTGATTTATTTTTCTTTCTGGCACCAGAATGCCTGCCTACTCCGTGAGAGCAGGGACCTTTCTGTCTCGACCGCCTATCTACAGCTCCTAGAACAGAGCCTGGGACACTGTCGATGGTCAGTATGCGTTTGTACACGAATAAATGGAGGAAGCGGGGCCTATGGAGAGGGGAGGGGAAGACAAGAATGAGCTGGGGGGTTAGGGGGTATCTAAGCAAACAAACAAGGGAGGAACCCTGCCTGGACATTTCGTGGTGGCGTGTTATGACGGGCCCATAAAAATAATTACAAATTAGGGGCGCCTGGGTGGCTCAGTCGGTTTAAACATCTGACTTTGACTCGGGTCATGATCTTGCTGCTGGTGGCTTCAAGCCCCGTGACCGGCTCTGTGCTGACAGCGCAGAGCCTGGAGCCTCTGCCTCGGATTGTGTCTCCCTCTCTCTCTGCCCCTCCCCCACTCATGCTCTCTCTCAAAAATAAACATTAATTTTTTTTTTAATGACAAATCACTTTGTCAAATTCATTACTCCATAAACTACATCTGGCATGAACAGGCCCTCACTTGCCCTCCTAGAAGCCCTCTGCCAGCTCCTAGAAGGCCCTGGCCACCTCAGGGCCTTTGCACAAGCTGTCTCCTTTGCCAAGGAGCTTTCCCCCTAGCTCTTCAAGAGCTGGTTCCTTCTCATTCTTCCAGTTTCTGCTCAGCGTCACCTGGTCAGCGCGGGCTCCCTTTCCCCACGCCGCCCTCTGTCACATCACCTGTTCAACACCTCCTCAAGCCCAGTGATTATTTTGTTTCCCGCAAGGGGTGCAGGCCCCGAGCCAGGCCCTCGTCTGCTCTGCCGCCTCCCCACCTCCTGCCACCGTGCCCGGCACACGGCGGGCACCCGAGCATTCGCTGAGTGAACCGGTGAGCGGAGGGGCGATCTCAAGGGCAGGGCCAAGGCGCGGCGCCAGGGGACGAGGCGAGGACGGGGGTCTTGCAGGGATCCGAGCGCGGGCAACCCCCCCCCGAACACCCGCCAGCCTCAGCCCTGTCCGCCCGGGACACCGAGCGAGGTGGGCGGGGCACCACCCGGGGAGGAAGGCAGCGCCTCTCCCGCAGTGACAGCTCCGCACTCCCGCGCCCCCCTTATTTCCGCATCCGGCCGCCCCCGCCACCGGCACCTCCGGCCCGGACCACCGCGCGGTCCCGCCCCAAGGCGGCTGCGCGATCACGCGACTGCCAACGGGGGACGCCAGGCCACGTGAACAGGCCGCCGCCGCGCCCTCGGGGTCTCGCGGGGTCGAGACGCGGCCGGCCCGCACGAGCCCTCCCCGGTCGGCCTGTCGTCCGTCTGGCTCCCTCCGCCTTACCTCCCGGCGGCGACCAGCTTCTGGAGGAAGGTATCCACCAGAGTGTCGAGGAGCTTCACCCTGGGCACGGTGGTGCCGGGGGGCACGGATTCCCGGGACGGCCCCTCAGGCCCCTTTCCCTCACTGCCGCCGCCTGCGTAGCTGCTGCGCGCTTCGGCCATGTTGAAGTCGCCGCGCGAAACCAAACTGGCTCGGCCGGCCCGCCCCCCGGGGCCGGCTATTGGCCGGCCCCGGCCCCGGGCGCTCCCGATTGGAAGCGGCGGGCGTCCGTCACCGAGCCGCGCTGGGGCGCGCACACGCGGGAGCCCGCGGGCGGTGCGGAGCTGGGAAGGGGCGCGCCTCGCACCCGGATCCTGGCTGCGCGGGCGGGCGGGCCGCAGAGTCGCAAGGCGAGGCTGAGGGGCTCGACAAAAACTTTTAATTACAGTTCAGAGACCTTGTACAGTGCAACAGGGAGTGTCCGATCTTAATGTCCGTATCTTGGGCCCACTGCGCGCGCGTTCCCGCCCCTTCCACTTCGGGCTGCCGACCAGCCCGCCGGGGACCAGCGGGTGCGGCCGGCCGGCCACGGCCCCTGGGCTCTTCGATGGGAAGGTCACGGCCGAGGTCCCTTCCACCAGATGCGCGTCCTTTCACAACGCGCGAGCGCGCATATGTCGGTGTGTATGAGACCGTGCGTGTGAATGTCAGTGTGTGTGTGTGTGTGTGTTGTGTGTGTTTGCGTGAGTGAAGGTCAGTTGTGCGTGTGTGTGCATGTCCGTGTGAGGGAGTGGGCGGGAGACCGGCGGGCAGATCCGAGGGCGGGAAGGGGGCAGGGGGGCAGGGCCGCCCGCAGACGGGCCACTGGGGAGAAGGTGGGGCGCTGAGCGGCGCCACAAGGGCCTCACTAGGATGGGCTCAAAGAGACGAGGGGTCCCCGGTCTCCATTATGTTGGTGGTTCTTGGGGATAAATGGGTGACTGCGGGGCAGGGAGGTTGAGGGTCATCTGAGGACCCTTGGGGTGACCGTCTGTGGACAGAAACTGGGAGACTCCCGACAAAGGGAAAGGACAAACAAAAGTGGAGAGAGGTGAAAGGGGAAATAACCCTGGGGGGTAAGAGACGGATGGGCGCTGGTGGCGGTGCACGTAGGAACGGGGCCTCCGGGCTCTGACCTGGGCGACAGTGTAGGGCAGCCGTGAGAAGCAGCGAGGCTTCAGGGAGCTAGCACCTTTCAGAAGGGCACCAGGGCCTTTCCCAGGGGCGGGACCCAAAAGAGGTGTGCAGGGTCATCCCGCCAGCCGTCTCAAGTACAAGGGCAGGGTCTGCCCTGCCTTCTCCTCGCTTGGGGGCTGCACCTGTCTGCCCACGACACAGGTGCGGGGGAGGAGGACTCGCTGTTCGCCCCTGAAGAGCCTCAACAGAGTCTCGGCAGTATCGGGCTGGTAAACGCAGTGGTCCTGGTATTGGGGGACTTCCTGACCTGCTCCTTACTCTCCCCCAGGCACCCCTCGGGAGAGCCACGGCTGGGATGACTCTTCACGTGGAGGAGGAGAAAACCACAACCAGTCCCACGTCTCAGAGATTCCCATTGGGACACCTCTGTTTCTGTGAGTCCCGGTGATGGGTACGGACACGCACGCACGTCATGACCGCCCCAGGGCGGAGAACCTCCCCCGCCCTCTCCTAGGCCTCACCCGGTGGGCCTGGGGACATGCGCCGGGGCACAGGCACACGCACCCTGTCCTCACTTTCCAACCTGTTCTCTCCACCTCGCTTTGCAGGGTAGTTCTCCCAGTCCAGCCCGGACGGCCTGATCTACTCAGGACTGGGCCCGCCCCTGCAGTCACCTGGCCGAGGGAGCCAACAGCTCGCATGTCCTGGGGCTGCTGGTTCTGAAGGAACGTGGAGTAGGTAACTGGGATTGAGGGAAAGCTACAGTTTTCCACCTGAGGAAGGGGTGGGCTCTGACTGCAGGATTGGCGCCTCAGCAGGACTGACAGTACCTAGTTCACAGATGTTAAAAAAAAATACACACACAAAATAAAGTATCGACATTTGTCCCCAACCTAATAACTCTCCGAAGAGAGGACACGTGCTCTGGAGAACCAGAGGTTTTCGCTGCTCCTGCTCCCTGTGCAGAAGTACCTGGCACCTGGCCCCCAGTGGCCGGGAAAACAGAACAGTCGGGTGGCGGCTCAGTCCCAAAGCAAAGAGAAGCAAGCCTACGAGATGAAGCAGGAGAGGGCTGACGACAGCTGCTGGAAATCCGGGCTGAGAGGCCGGGGGGAGGACCGGCAGCAGGAAACCAGCGCCCTGTACAGCTCTCGTCAGGGCCTCAGGGGCACAGATGGCGGGGGGAGGCCAGGAGAAGGTTCCGCAGGGGACGGGGGAGTGGGATCGCTGGGGATGGGGGTTCCTTGGATCAGGACGGAGTACCGGGACTGAGCAGAGAGCCCAGTTTGGCAAGAAAATAAAAAATACCAGGGGCAGGGGGTCCAGGTGCGGAGCCTCTTCAGCAAGAGCGGTTCGGAGTCTCTGCCCTGTCCCAGACAGGCCACCTGGCCCCGGGCAGGGCTGTGAGGGGGGGGGGGGCCCGCGCCTGCAGAGGGTGCTGTCCTCCCCACGCCGCCCCCGCCCCAAAGTAGTGTGGGAAACAGCAGGGTTCTCGCCCTGCCACGGGTTACCAGTGTCTCGAGTCCACCAGCTCAGGCCGGAGGCTGAGTTTCTTGAGGCTCTCGTAGCCCACCACGACGACAATGCTGGAGGGCGTGGCCGAGATGATTCTGGCAGAGAGGCCCTTCATGAGGCCCCAAGGCCCCTCTTCTGCCATCAGCTGTTTGAAGGTCAGGATGATGGAGCTCTTGCCTTCAACCTGGAAACGCAACGTGGCGGAAGGCCACGGGCCACAGTCAGGGCCACTCGGTGCAGCCTTGGGCTACGGTGGAGAGAACCGGACTTGGGGCCCGGGGGGCGGACAGGGCGGCACAGTGGTTTATATGGGCTCTGGTATCGGCCCATATAACTCTGGGTTGAACTCTGCTCCCCAACTTGCTCACAGTGTAGCCTCAGGTAACGTACCTCAGTTTCCTCGGATGTAAAACAGTAACAAAGTAGACCGAACCCATGTGGTTGTTCTGGGCACCAGAACCCTAACCGTGAGCTGCTGTTCCTGTCATTAGGTAAGCCACTGAGCTAGGGCTCCTTGCCGTGGGGGCTCCTCTCTGGCCTCAGGGAGCCCAGCGACTGAAGGTCCTGCTGGTCTGTCATTTCCGTTCCCGTGTGTCAGTCCCTCTGAGTCCCCGAGGCTGGGCCCACCCCCGACCCCGTCGCCCCCACGCACCCTGGGACCCATCTTCCCTACTACACTGGAAATCGGGCTGAGGCAGAAATCTCCTCTCTTCCTTCTCAACAGTCCTGCCCCCTGCCCCGGCCCCCCACACCCTGCCACCCAGGTACACGTTTAGACACCACCCCCCTCGGACCCTCGGCCAGCGCAGGACAGACGCACTGCTTGTTGCACACCCCCGTACCGTGCGACATTCACAGGGTGACCTCTGGCTGAGAATATTGCCCACTCATCCCCACCCCGACCCTCCTCCACGCTCCCCTCTTCCTCTCCGGTACTCTCCTCTGACCACCTCTGCTCCCCTGCCCTCCCCTATCCACAGCCGCGTCAAGGGCTGTTCCAGCTCTGCTCTGGTCCTCACACGCGCTTGGTCTCCTCCAGCCTGGGAGCGCTCAGAACAAGGCTCAGGAGAGAACGAGAAGGGAACCTGTGCACTTTGTGGTCTGCAAACCAATCAGATGTCAATTTATTCATTTTCAAAAGCGGGGGTGGAAAGGGCATTCTTTCCTACAGACAAACACACCTAGATTTGCCAGCCATCTCCATCCCAACATCCTCGGATCAGGGAAGCCGACTTCACCCCCAACCTGTTGAGGTTACTTTCTTGCCCTCTCCTCCTCACCACAGCCGTGACCCCGCTCTCCCGCACAGCTGTCCTCTTCAGCTACCCACATCAGATGTTCAAACCCCCGTTCTCATACAGCAGAACCTGCCATTTGTCTGTTACACATCCATTCAGATTCCATTTCCTTGGATTAGGTGCTGGGGAAGCATCTTTGAGCTGAGTGGAGACAGGGACTACGATCTCTGGACAGCACCACCAAGGGCTCCGTCTCGGTAAAGAAAAGCATCGGCTGTGCTAACGGGATGAGAGGCAGGGAGGAGCCAGTGAGGCATGGCGGGGACAGGCGCGGGGGCGTGCAAGGGGGCACACGTGGTGAGGGGAACGCTCTAGGCGTTCCAGAGTGCTCCGCTGCCTGCTGCACATGGTAAGTCGTAAGCACAAGGAAGGGGCCTGGCTGACCAGGACGAGGCTGGCTGGACTAGAAGGCCGTGACACCGAGAGGTCGGGGGAGCACTGGGGAGCACAGGTGAGCCTTCTTACCGGGGGCAGGGAGGCCGGTCTTACCTGCACTCGGGTTCGGATGACGTCCATGGGATTGGTCAGGACGGAAGCGGTGGCCGCGGCCAGGGGCCCCGAGACGGCTTGAAAGACAATGTGCGGGCACTCCTTGGGACAGAGGTACGAGATCTGCTCTGGAAGCGAGGGAGAGACAACGGGAGAGACGTGAGGCGCCGTCCCGTCTGCCCTCACACTGCTTCTGCTCATTGGCCCAACGCGGACGGACCCTCTCCGTCATCAGCCACCTTAGATCCTGTCACTCCCATCCTCTTTTCTTTGCTTCCTTCTGAACCAAGAAAAAATGAGGACCCTCAGGCCCCTTCCGGAAGCCATGTTGGGTACATTACCCGCTGTGGACAGAGGATTCCTCTGGAGAAGGGGTTTCAGAACCTCTCTGCCTGCCAACTCCCCTCCTCTGACGAACAGAAATCCTTCCTGACGTAACAACCTTACGCGTGTGCTCTACTCCTCCCGACTCCCAGGCCAGGCAAGCACACGCCCCGGGTTTTCTCACACGGGCACCCCATCGCTGGTGGGAAACATGAAAGCTGCTCTCGCCCACTGTCTCTAAGGAAGGGAGCAGGGTGACCGTGGTGGGTGAGGAGTCTTTTCACCGCGTCCCTGTCTTTCTTTTCGAATTTTGAGCCGTGAGAAGATTTTTTTAAATTGTAGTTCGTTAGCATACGGTATCGTGTTAGTTTCAGATGTGCAGTGCAGTGATCGGACACGTCTATACGG